TTAATCAGTCTTTTAAACTGTTTGTATTATGTTTTATTTTAATAGTTTTTGCAAAATGATCGTATAATGCATAGGAATACATAGAAATAGACACACACACTTTTTCATAGTATTTTATTTGATAGTTTTGTATTGTTTTGTCACAATTGCAAGTAAGCATTTTCAATCATAGGAAATTTAGATAGTAAATGAATACAAATTCCTTAAAAAAAAAAAAAGGGAATAGTAAATGAGTACAAGTTCCTTAAAAAAAAAAAAAAGGGAAACTTTCCCTTTTCCCTCTTCCCTTTTTGCCTAAATTAGCTGAATAATCCTCACATACACCTATCTAGTTTTGCTTGAGGAAGTCACATGGGAGACTTTGTAACATCTGAGGTTTGTACATTTTCTCTAAAGAAACAATTCCATTTAACACTAGATATTCATAATCTGAGTTTTGAGTACTTATAAATTCTGTAAAGATAACTTTCCAAATCATGTATATCAAAACTAATTACCATTACAAATTATTTTAAAATATATCAAGACTTTTTCCTTATTAAGATGCATATAAATCACCATTTTCTTATGCAAGCATAGATATCTCAAAAACTAAGTTTACAGAAACTTACTCTTCTTTTAAAATTCTTAGTAACATTATAAAACAGAATATACTTTCTTAATTTTAAGATCAAGTGATAGACAATTTAAAAGTTGTGAATTGAAGGAAAACTAGTAACCACTCATTCTTTCATATAATATATACGATTATCATTGTGGTAGGTCCTAGGAACACAAAGACAAATTAAAGGAAGTTTCTGCCCTTAAGAGACTCAGTCTGGAAGAAGCAATATGGGAGGGGCTCCCAAGGTGCTTTATGAAGAGGAATGAAGAGTTCAGGTTTGTGTTGCAGGAAAGTAAGCCTGGCCAAAAACAAAAACAAAAACAGAACAAAAGCAAACAAGATGGAGACAAAAAAAAATTTATACAGTACCTACTATGACACTGTGCTGAGCACAAGGTGTTCAAACAAGATTTCAGTTCTCCAGGAACCCGTAATTCCTGCCATTCTCATTAAAAAAAAAAAAAAAAAAAACATTTCTGACATATTATTATAATAGGAAGGACTGTATTCCAATTCACCAATTAGATGCATGAACAATTTCACACAGAAGGGTGAACCTAAGGTTTAGAAAGGAGGTGCTAAAATAAAGAAATGCACACAAAAGATTATCCATTAGGAAATTACCAAATCACTTATGCTTCCAAGGCTGAATAACTATGATCATATTAAAATGAATCCTCACCCTTGGCTTGTCAGATTTCTAACTTCAATCTAGGTATTCTTAGAGATTTATCATAGTACCTTACCTGTTTATAGAGCTCTTCAATTTACAAAGTATTGAAATATCATTAAAACCACATACTAATCGTCAAATGGGAGAAGCAGAACAAATTACCTCATTTACAATATAGAGAAAAGTTTGGGTTTATGGAGGTTATGAAATTTAACTCAGGTCTGCAGATTGTTGGTATACATAGTTTAACTTGGAATCAGTCTTCTATCACTAAAATGGACCTTATAAAGATTCAAAGTCAAAAGATAGCATGAAAATTGAAAAAAACATGTTAGGTGAGATTATAGGTAGTATTTAATTTTTTTACATGTTGCAGCATAATTTTTACAGTTACAATGATTTTAATTATTGAATCCAATTCCCTAGTAAAGGAAATTGAGTTTTAGAGGCTGAGTACTGCCAAAAGTTACAATAAAAACAACTGAAGGGTAAGAACCACAATTATCTTGACTTCTACCCCACTTCTCCTCCAGTGTCTCAAAAACAAAAACAAAACAAACTTTTGGAGATACCCACTCTGACTTTTTTTTGTCTTCTGGAATGATTAATATAAACAAGTCATTACAGGAAAAACAGATATAATTAAAGTTACTGATATAAAGGTTTTATTCTCAAAAAGGCAATAAGACTATAATTTTAAGCAACAGAGCTTGTCTTTTTAGCATAATTTTGCTTATTTTGTAAAAAAATGAAAATAAATGAATTTTTAACCATAGGAGTTTTAAAATTACCATTATTAAGTGAACTAAAGTAGATAACAATATGAGTGCCTTAAAAGGTGTTTGAAAATAATATTAATATAGTTGCCAAACTTTACATTCTATCCACCTAGTTTATTATGCAGGTATGAGTACCTACTACATGCAGAGAACTTTTCAGGGAATAGTGGAGTAATACAATGATGAAACCATCCAGAGCCCAATAAGAAAGACAAGATATGCGTTCAAATTGCTATGATGCACAGTTTAAAGTTGATTTTAACTGACCTTATAGATACATAGGATTTATGGAAACAGGAAAGAAAAGAAGTTCTATTTATGCAGAACAGATGAATGAGATAGCAAAGTACAAAGTTCCTAGGATGTATAGGGAACAAAGTTACTGTCAAGGTGTGCTCTTAAGAGCCCCCTAAGGATATAAATGGGAAATAAAGCTTTTTGAGGCCAGAGTATTGATCCTTGAAACTTCAGGAATTTGGGACTTAATTAGGAACTAGAATCCAAAATATCTCAAAATAAAAGTGTAACAATGACCAGTCTAGTTATATTAAGCCATAACACAAAACCTTAGAGAGAACATCTGTTCATTCAACAATAAGCTCAAGTTACGTTTTTTAAAAAAAGAAAAAGTTCTAAGCTGTTGCAGACACCCCAGATCAAATAGTAATTCCATGAAAAATGCTGTGTATGCAGTCACTGCGGCATATTGATATTTAAAAAGATAGTCCAAAACCTTATATCTTTAAAAAAAGCCATGAAATTAAGATTTCATGTGTTTTATATAGGTTTTAAATGTAGAAATATTTGTATACTTTTATAGAATATAAAATATAATATCCTATAAAATATATTTGTTAAAAATTATCATGATGATGTAATCTAGGCAAAGGAAAACTATGTGGAAAAGAAAAGTATAATTTTAAGAAGTAATAAAAGCAGGGCTGGGGATGTGGCTCAAGCGGTAGCGCGCTCGCCTGGCATGCGTGTGGCCTGGGTTCCATCCTCAGCACCACATACAAAACAAAGATATTGTGTCCACTGAAAACTAAAAAATAAATATTAAAATTCTCTCTCTCTCTCTCTCTCTAAAAAAAAATAAATAAATAAAAGCAGAGGAAGATCTAGAGCCTTTCAAACTTTCTAGGTAGACTCCCACACTATGGGCCTTTATATAGAGAGTCCAGCAGGCCAGATTTTGAATACTAGTTATGTGATCGTGAACACATGTCTCAACTTCCCCATGATTTATTTTCTTCTATAAATTTAAAAGGACAAATATTTACCTTACAGGCAAGGATTAGAAAGAGCATAGGAAAGCACTTGGTGAATATTCAATGACAGCTCTTCAATCATTTCAATCCTCACTTTAAAATCTGCAAAAATATGCCACATAATTTAATATTAATGTAGCTGCCTAAAATTCCTTCCTGTGAGTTTCTTAAGTTTCTCTTTATTGTTTTATATACAATTTGCTTAGTAAACATCTGGTGTTTGCCTTATATATACAGGTTAAGAGTCCTGCTTAAGGTCATATCTTTCAAAATAAACAAAGCAATATTTAAAATAAAAAAAAAAGTCTAAAAAAAAAATTAAAAAAAAAAACTATTCTGTACCTACCATTGTGATTCTGTGGTTTTTAATCCTTGGCAAAGTAAGGTGCTAGATGAAGTATACTCCCATTGGTGATCAAGGAGCATTTCAAAGCCCACAGCTCAAATTTATCCTCCCCGCATAAACATATTCCCATAAGCACATATATATACTTTCACTTTAAGGAGTTAGGAATTCTAAGTTAATGAGATCCTTTTAAATGGTAAAATGTCCTTTGGAAAGGCAATCCACCTTCATGCTTTGGTGTGACCAGTTCCTTATTTAGTGAAAAATTACTGGGTTCTCTTGGGATTGGAGGAAGAAGGCAATGTGCATTAGGAACTTTAGAATGATAGGAAGAAAGATAGGGTGAAGGGAAAATACAGTTGGGAAGAAACCACCACACAAATAATGGATCTACCTTGTATGAGAGTCTTGGTAAGGGACCCTTTTCTCCCCTGAATGTCTCTGAGGAAGATAAATGACACTTGAGTTAAATTTATCAACGTTTGTACCAAAACCAGATTCTTTCTTTTTATCTCTGTCTCACCAACAGTGAGCTTCACCTTAAAATACATAACACAAACGACAGGAAAGATCGTGAGAAAATGTGTGCAGCACTTTTCTGCTCTCCATCTTAATTCTCAAGAAAACTGTGGTGAATTTTTTCCTACTTGTTGGTCTTCTTCAGAGTCAATCCCGCTCCCACTCTCCAACTTTAAAAGTGGCAGTCTTAATGATTTTCTTAACATCGATTCTGTAGCTATTCATTCTGTGTCAGTCATAAGCAGTAGATTGGTTTATCTCCAAATCCCATATCCTCTGCCTTTAGCCTAGCTTTGGCAGTGAAGCTGGCGTGCTAAACTACTGCTACCAACCCCCACCCTAAACATTTCAGACTGCTGACTGCCAACTTTGGATTCTGGGATTCCCAGGACGTCAGGTCAAGCCACTGAGAAGTCCACCCAGGGGTAAATTCCACACATAGTTTCTTCTCGCTCTCTCTGGGATCAGTGCTTTAACATCTGGGTTAATTAGATCGTGCAGACTCGGGTAACTAAGCGCAGAAAACAGCTGGGCACGTTGCTCAAAACCCAGACGCAATCGTTTAGAAATCGCTTCTGGAAATACCGGCTCTAATAGGCGTGTCACGTCTGAATGCGGACAAGGATTGAGCAAAACCGAGCATAATTTGGAACTTTGGGGGGCCAAGTCCGCAACTTTTGAGACCTCCTTTTACTGTCAGATCCAAGTTTTGAAACTGGATGTACGCCAAGTGAGGACCGCTGAGCGTGACAAACGCGCCCAGCTAAAAATATATATTTGCACTCACGTATTCAATTCTTCACAACAGGAATGAAAGGGAAAACTTAGCATGTCCAAGTTCAGCGTTAAAACAAAAGTACCGCCACCAAAGATTCCGTGCCCCTTCTGAAGAAAGTTAATGCCAAGGAGCACCAACCGCTCAGTACGCCTGCGCAGGCCAACCGCGGCCCCGCCTCTCCGTTGAGGACGTAAAACGTGCGCCGGGCGGTGGGAGGCGGGACGCGGACTGCGCATGCGCCCTCGTTGCGTCAGCCACTTGCTCGGAGCTGACGGCTGCAGCCTCCAGAGGTTCGTGTTCACTGCTGTGTCTCCTGGGCGCGTTCGTCGGGCCGCGCGGGGAGACTAAAACCGGAAGGGCTAGAGTAAGTGCCCCCTCGGCTGCATGAGTCAGAGCTACAGTGTTTCCTTCCCTCCGGGCAAGTGACCATAGAAACTGGACCCCGCCCCCTTCCTGGCCTAGACTCCCTTTCCCCCTACCCCTTGCCCCTTTCCCTTTGGGGACCCCCCCCAGTTCTTCTTGTTTTGTTACTGAGCCTCAACTAAGGTCATGAAGCTGGTGAGGAAGGACATTGAGAAGGACAATGCGGGTCAGGTGACCCTGGTCCCCGAGGAGCCTGAGGACATGTGGCACACTTACAATCTAGTGCAGGTGGGCGACAGTCTTCGCGCCTCCACCATCCGTAAGGTACAGACCGAGTCCTCCACAGGCAGCGTAGGAAGCAACCGGGTCCGTACAACGCTCACTCTCTGCGTGGAGGCCATTGACTTTGACTCTCAAGCTTGCCAGCTGCGGGTCAAAGGGACCAATATCCAAGAGAATGAGTATGTCAAGATGGGGGCTTACCACACCATCGAGCTGGAGCCCAACCGCCAGTTCACCCTGGCCAAGAAACAGTGGGATAGTGTGGTTCTGGAGCGCATTGAACAGGCCTGTGACCCGGCCTGGAGTGCTGATGTGGCAGCGGTGGTCATGCAGGAAGGTCTCGCCCATATCTGCTTAGTCACTCCCAGCATGACCCTCACTCGGGCCAAGGTGGAGGTGAACATCCCTAGGAAAAGGAAAGGCAACTGCTCCCAGCATGACCGGGCCTTGGAGAGGTTCTATGAACAGGTGGTTCAGGCCATCCAGCGCCACATAAACTTCGATGTTGTAAAGTGTGTCCTGGTGGCCAGCCCAGGATTTGTGCGGGAACAGTTCTGCGACTACATGTTTCAGCAAGCAGTGAAGACTGACAACAAAGTTCTCCTAGAAAACCGGTCCAAATTCCTTCAGGTAAAATGTTTTTACTCAGAGATAGTTAAGAATGGGCAGAGGGATTGGTAAAAACTGCTCCTAAAGTTTTAGAACTGGGAAAAGTGAAAGAGGAGAAACTCTACTTAGCTGGGATTGTAAATGAAGTAATGAAAAGAGAACTGCTCAATATCTAGCATATTTAAATAATAAACTTTGCTGAAGTACACACACACACACACACACACACACATACACATATGTATCCTTGTTAATTCTTTAGACTTTAGGTAAACATGGACTGCTTAGTGGATGCTTTCAGAGATTCTTTTGTCTTTTATAATTGTGATTCTAGGTACATGCCTCCTCTGGACACAAGTACTCCCTGAAAGAGGCCCTTTGTGACCCTACTGTAGCTAGCCGCCTTTCAGACACTAAAGCTGCTGGGGAAGTTAAAGCCTTGGATGACTTCTATAAAATGTTACAACATGAACCTGACCGAGCCTTCTATGGACTCAAGCAGGTGGAGAAGGCTAACGAAGCCATGGCTGTTGACACATTGCTCATCAGCGATGAGCTCTTCAGACACCAGGATGTAGCTACACGTAGCCGGTATGTAAGGCTGGTGGACAGTGTAAAAGAAAATGCGGGCACTGTTAGGATATTCTCTAGTCTTCATGTATCTGGGGAACAGCTCAGCCAATTGACTGGAGTAGCCGCCATTCTTCGCTTTCCTGTTCCTGAACTTTCTGACCAAGAGGATGATTCCAGTTCTGAAGAAGATTAATGATTGAAATTTATAGTTGAGACAACCTTTTGTCTCACTTCATTAATATGTATATTTTTTTCAGCATCCTTTGAGAGAAAGCTGCAAGATGGGCACTTTTGGGTTCATACTGGAATTTCTCATGTATTTGATCACACTAGATATTTTATAGTTCTCAGAACATGTATTCAAACTAAACAATAAACTTAAATGAAATAAATTCCATGTTTTATATTTATTAATTAGGATAATTTTACTTGTACTTGGAAAAAAATTTTGTATATCTAATAGGAATACTTATTTTGGGCATAGATCATAAAATATCATATTGCATACTTTGAGTTAGTTTTCCTTTTGAAAAAAAGCTATATTTTCTCATTATCCTGAGTTTTTATTGTTCATTTTAATTTTGCCTGGTATTCTTGCTTTGCATTTAATGATTCCTTTTTTACCCACTTCCCGCACATACTCCCATGTTTTTAGACTTACATGCATTTCCTCTTTTAATTGATAACCAATTAGTAAACTTTGAAGACAAGTTTAACATGCTATTTTTCTTCAGAGATTTGTTAAATTAATCATGTTAGAAAAAACTCTTGTGCTTTTTCATTGTTAGACTAAATCATACTTGCTTTAGAGGAATACTTAATCAGTCATTTTCAGATCATGGAGTTAATAGTTAATCTCTTTGGAGACTCTATTTTTTTAAATAAGACTAAGATAAGTGCCTTGGTTGCAAACTAGTGGCAAACCTGAAAGTAGTCTCCAATTTAGATTTCAGGTGTTCACATTGAAACACTGCCACACTACTTTTTAATTGTTTATTTACTTTTTTTGGCTTATCAAAGTTACACTTAATTCTGTCTTTAATTTGTGGAATTAGTCTGTTTTCATAATCTTACTGGACTATTTTAGGTCTTAAAAAGCATATTCAGAAAGTTTGATTAAGTCATACCATTAGTGTGTGGTGGTTATACTCCAGTATTCCTTACTGTAATTAGGGGATTTCTGCAAGTACTTCAGCAGTTAAGATATCCTTTTTATTGAGTGGTTTGCTGCTGTTGTTGTTGCTATTTTGTTTTCAGTGCTAGGAATCAATCCCAGGTATACTCTACTACTAAGCTACATCCTAATTTTTATTTTGAGACAAAATCTCACTAATTTTGTCCAGAGTGGACTTTTAACTTGTGATTTTCCTACCTGAGCTTCCCAAGTAGATGGGAATACAGGTGTGCCACTGCACCTAGCATTTATTAAGTATTATTGATATGCATTTCTAAGAGTTATAGAGGGAGCTTTAGGAATGGAATTACATCTTGATCTTTATAAACCTCAACTTAGAAAAATAATTAGGAAAGGTCTTACAGTGATTTGTAACTCTTGAATCAATGATTCCTACCTCAAGAAGTGATACTAAGTAAACTTTTGCTTGTCTTTTCTGTGTCTGTGGTCCTTTCTCATCACATAACAGGTTTGGGGATTATTTTTGATAAAACTTCCTAACTGGTCTGAACCTTTTCATGTAATGTTTGTTGGGAACTGACATTTCCATATATTTTAAAATCAGATGTTTGTATTTATATATATCTACCTCCTAATCTAAAAAGAATTCATTGCCAATATTTCATTATAATTCTATAAATATTTAGTTTTAATGTATAAAGGTATTTTATTAAATAAGGAATATAGAAAGGAAACCACTAAGATCATTAAAATGAGAATCTGATTGATAATGAATCATAATCAGTAAAAATTTTAAAATTTGGAAGCAGCTTACTATGAAAATCTATGCAGTACTGAGATGAAATCTAATAAATCTAGGCAATACATTTTAGGCCATATGTTCTCAAATGTTAGCTACAATTTGAGAGCTCTTAAAATTCTCCTTGCCCAGCTGGGCATGGTGGTGTACACCTGTAATTCCAGAGGCTCTGGAAGCTGAGGTAGAAGGTTTGCAAGTTCAAAGCCAGCCTCAGTAACTTAGTGAGGTCCTAAGCAATTTAGTGAGACCCTGTCTTTAAAATATTAAAAAAAAAAAAAAAAGGCTGGGGATGTTGCTCAGTGGTTAAGCAATCCTGGGTTTAATCCCTGGTACCAAGAAAATGAAAATAAAAGGATTGGGGAAGTGGCTCAGTGGTTAATCGTCCTTGGTACCAAAAAACAAAACAAACAACAAATAAAACCACCAGACTTCACCCCAGTCTAATTAAGTAACTTTTCACCCCCCAGAATGCTGAGGTTTGTATTTTAGTTTGCTTTACAGTTAACTCAGATGATTTCTATAGGCATCAAAAGTGTGAACCACTGAAAGGCTGGGATTGTGGCTCAGTGGTAGAGAACTTGTCTAGCATATGTCAAGCACTGAGTTCAATCCTCAGCACCACATGAAAGAAATAAACAAAGGCATCATGTCCATCTACAACTAAAATACACACACACACACACACACACACACACACCCCCCACTGATTCAAAACTTAGTATTTAAAAACGAAGTCCATGGACAAACAGCATCTATGAGAATTAAACTAGAATCCAGAATTCTAGTCTAGACTTCCAACTTAGAATATACTTGTACCAACATCTCCAGGTGATTGCTGTACATAATAAATATACATAATAAATATAGAGACAATACTTGAGTATCCAGCGGTAGGAAATCTCTGGCTGAGGTCACCAGCCATAGACAAAAACAAATTTCATTTTTAAGGTCTTTCAAAACAGATAGCTATCCATACTCAAGGATCCAACCCCTAAATATAAGCATATTGTTATGTACATGAAGTATTGATTTAAAACTTAAATTTGTGTGTGTGTTGGGGGTGTTAATCAGAGATTCAACCCAAGGGTACTCTACCACTAAGCTACAATCGCAGCCCCCCCCCCCTTTTTTTTTTTTGAAAAAGAATCTTTCTGAGTTGCACAGGCTAGTCTCAATTTTGTGATCCTCCTGCCTCAGCCTCCTGAGTTGCTAGGATTACCATCATGAGCCACCATGTCTGGCTAATTCCTATTTTCAGAAGGTCACACTTTATATCATCACCAAGAGTATAATTCTTAATGAGTGATGGGGGAAATATCAACATAATGATAAAAGCAAATGGCATTAAAAATTCTAGTAATTTGACTTTACAGAAAATCAAAATGAACCATCAGTCAGTATAATTCCAACTTCTGTTCGTTAATATTGAGGAATATGCAATAAAGTGTTTAATAACAACCTTTTCTAAAGTTGTACTGTAAATTTCTATCTGGTTTTAGTGTGCATAAAGATTTGCTACCCTCACCCAGACTCAATAAATTAGAAAATGCAGATCTTTTTTGCTTTATTGTGAATATAACATCAAATTATATTTTGCTATTCCTGGTTCCCCATTTATATGTTAAGTACCTTGCTAATTTTTATGACTGGGTTTTACTTTCATTATCCCTTTATAAGCAACTTGGATCTTTTTCCTGTCATATGTGGTTGAATAGCTTTATAAAGCTAATTTTGCTTTTTGTCTTATTTCAGTCACTAAATTTAGTTTCCTTTTTTTTTTTTTATCCTCGTACCATTTCTCTCAACTTTAAATTATCCTTAATAGAAGTGACTCATAATTACTGCAATTCATATATTTTGGAACTAAAAGTTTCTATTGCAAAAAACAAGTATACAGATAAAATGGTATGTGCATACATCCTCCATAATAGAAGCCCTTAGTTGGAGAAGGATTATGGTGGCTTTAAATCATATGGATTTCCTCACAGATATGACTGTCTGTGCTTAGTATCAGAATATATTAGACTACAAGTTGAAGAAGGGTTTCTAAGGGTTTGAGGAGAGGATATTTTTTGTCTTATAGGATGTCCATATTTATATTACATCAGTCATTAAGAGTGATACGTTTAATTCCATTCACTTTTTTTAGCTTCTGCTTTGAACCATTCACTAGGCTGCACTTGAAAAAGAGAAACATTAATCAAATCAGTCACAAGTAATTTGTAAAAAGTGTATAAAAGAGCAATGTTGAGAGGGTGGTCATTTTTAGGAGGAATTTTATAGAGCAAGAACCAATAAGCTTACCTACAATGGTGAGAGGAAACTTGGGGAAGTCATGTGGGAAGACTGGGAGGACAGGTCTCATACAATAAGGAGTTTGAGTTTGACCATGCTGAGAAACAACTGTTATGTTTAAGCAAGAGAATGTTATGATAAACTTCATTTCAAAAGTATCACTGTTTTTCAATATCAAGAATTGACTGGAGGAAGTGATACTGGAGTCAGGAAGATTGTTTAAAAGACTATACATTTAAAAATTTGAGAGAAAGTCAGAGATTTAGAGGCCTTATAGTCTATTTTGATTTGGGGGATGTATTTAGTTCCAAAATATCTGATACTGAGACATGGGACAATATCTTCCAGGCAGCAAATAGAAGAGAAAAATGTCTTGGCAATAACAGTGCCTGGCTATGCCCAATATTAATACCATTGCCCCAACTCTGAGCATGGACAAACTATTATAATAAAAGTAAATATGTGTTTAAGTACAAGTTCCTGTGGGAGGGCTTTAAAATGCATGTTAATTCTTCCAAGAACCTCATGAGAAAGATATTATTATTATTACTATTTTCAGATGAGAAAACTAAAATTAAAACAGGTAGAATAATTTGTTCAAAGTCATTGCTAGTGAGTGTAATGAAGTTCCCTAACAATCTACTCCCTTAAAAAATCTAAGAATGTCATTCCTTTTCTCAGTTTTCAGTTTGGAATAGGTCAAATGTGTGCCTAGAAAATTATTGATAAATTATTTGATAACAAGAAATTTTGTATAATTAGCCAAGGTTTAATTAATTATTTTGTGTGTTTTACTTATCTCATTGTCATTTAGTTGTCTTTTGTGCAAAATCAGGAACTCTATCTTGACACTCTGTCTAGAACATACTGAGTATTAGAAAGTATAGGTAAAATGTACATTAAAGCAAGCACCTCAGGCTGGGGATATGGCTCAGTTGGTAGAGTGCTTACCTCACATGCATAAGGCCTGCTTTTATCCAACATCTACTTATTGTTATTTTGAATCTAGTTTTAGCAAGCTTAATTTTTAACAATTTTTAAACCTACAATATTAAGGCATGCAACAAACATTTATTAAGTAAGCACCTTAAGTGGCTTCAACTGTGATATCCTGGGGTATACAAAGATGAATTTGGAAACTTTTTCCTTCCTGTAGTCAGCAAATTTGATA